GCTTGCTTGGTATTTTGCAATTTTTGAATGAAAATCTTTTAAAGACTATTTTTTGGATATTTTGTAGGTAAATTTGAGAAAAGTTACTTTTAAGGTGAAATTTATATGATAGAATTTGTATGAAAAGGGGGTAATACAATTTAAAACATAATTTATTTATGCTGTATATTTAATATTAAATATAATAAGACAAATTATCATTAAAGAGATGAATGAATAAGATTGCAAAAAAGAGGATAAGAAAATTAAACAAATATAAACTGAAATATATCAACTAAAGGATCAATTATAATAATATGTATGAATATATCAAACTATAATACCGTGCGATCGAAAAAAAAACGGCGCCAAAGATGACTGGGGAATGACAATCGGTGATAATTTTGGCGAGGTCATTCTCTAGACGTCATTTACTAAAAACTGCCATAAATCTTGTCAGAAATTATCACTAATTACAGAAAGATTAAAAAAGAATGGAACTTTCCCAGACCCACAAATCTACATATTTCCAAAAAAATATATATTTTTTCGAATTTTTAACTACACCATTTAAAAATCATTCTTACCTAATAAAAATAAATTAAAATCTTCCTAAGGTCAATTGTCAAAGTTAAAAGTTTACCTAATTGCCTAAAGTAAGTCTAAGGCTTGATCTCGCCAAAATTCTCATCGATGAGACGCCGTTTTGTTTTCGATCGTGTGGTACAAATAAAAAATGATTTACGTATATTCAGATAGCTCTGCAGATTCAGCCCATATACTTGCTTATATCGATAGTATATACAGGATGAGTATTAAATAAATGCACGTATTTTTGGGGATTTAGGGAAATAACCAAGAAAGACTGTAAAAGAATACGAGTTGATACGACAAAAGACCCAAGCAATAGATGTCATTATGTCATCCACAGAATCATATCACTCAAATGACAATGAGCAGGACACTTGGCTAGAAGGACGGACAACAGATAGACCACAAAAATTACAGTATGGTACCCACGAAGAATTAAGATACCTAAAAGAAGACCGAACCTGAGATGGGACCATGATATTGGGAAATTAGCAAGGATAACTTGAGCGCGCATAGCCAACAATAGACAACAAGGGGCTCAGCTACAAAGAGAGTAGGTATCTAAATATGTGAGGAAGACCTGAAAATATTTGCACTTATTTAAGAGTCACCCTGTATAGTGTTTTATTTATAGTCTAAATGTTATACCGGGTGTTGCATCATCGAGCGGGACATAGGAAATCCCATGTAAATTTTAATGGGGTCAATTATTGGCTTCCCTAATTGTTTTAGAGAATAATTCTATTTAGGTTTATTGAAGAGCACTAAAACCCACATTCAAAAGAATAACTTTAGATATTTTTGATTAGCCCGTTTACGAGTTATCGCCGATTTCTTTTTAAATATTTTTCCTTTCTTATGGCCCTGTATTTACTCATGAGCATCAGTCAAGGTAAAAGATAACTGTCAAATGAAGTTGTCATTTCAGAAATTTATCTATTTAGTGCTTTATTATTATTATTAAAAACTCATACCTACAGAAAAAGTATTGATGATTAAATGGTATTATCAAGGAAATAGTTATCAAAAGGTGTCGGACATGTTTGCTGCTCTGTATCCGAATAGACCGATATCTGGAAAATCTACAATCGTAAGGAATATCCAGAGATTTGAAACTAAAGGTACCCTACTAAATAACAGCAGGTGTGAAGCAAGGCAGGAACAAGGAGAAGATGCAAGAAATGATACCGACTTGGAAGTTTTATTGTGCGTGGAAGAGAACGATGGAAAGATCAGCACAAGGAAACTTGAGGATGAAATAGGAATAAATCACACTACAGCGTTTCGAATTTTGAAACGACATAAATACTATTCCTTCAAATATGAAAAGCACTAAGAGCTACGAGATGGGGACGAAATACGGCGGCAGGCGTTTTGTTTTGATATGATGGAAAGAGCAAACACGGATAGGGAATTTTTAAAAAGCATATGTTTCACTGACGAATGCACGTTTACCTTAAATAATGAACCCAATGTTCAAAATTATCGATATTGGAACAAAGAAAACCAACACAGGTTTGTCGAAACAAGGACGCAATATCCACAGACAGTAAATGTTTGAGCAGGAATATTCGGACACAATATTATCGGGCCATTATTTCTTACGCGAAATTTAAATGCAGAATATTATTTGGAATTACTCGAAAATCATATTTTACCTGCTTTACATGATGCCGCTAGGGAAAAGCAGGAAGTTTGGTACCAAATGGATGGCTGCCCGGCACATAGTACCCTGGCTGTTCGGGAATATTTAGACAATAGTTTTAACGCAAACCTTATTGTCCTAAATCATACAATAAATTGGCCAGCAAGGTCTCCTGATATTTCGCCAAATGATTTCTTTCTCTGGGGCCATTTAAAAAACAGGATATGCAAGGATAAAAAATACCCAAATCTAGACGAGTTAAAAAATGCTATTTCTGCCAAATGCAATTGAATTTCAGTTTACCAACTAGCGAACGTAAGAAGAGAATTTTATGATCGCCTGGGTTATTGTCTAGCAGCCGATGGAGGAATATTTGAACATCTTCTTAAGTCCTAAAGTTCTAACAATTTAATAGTACCTAAATTAATAAGTTATTGAATATTGTAATAATACTATAATTAATCTTGTAATTGATTACTTTATTTTACTTTAATTAATATTAATTTGTATTTATAAATACATATTTAAGATTTCCGATGTAGGAATGAGTTTTCAATAATAATAAAGCATTAAATAGGTAAATTTCTGAAATGACAACTTCATTTGACAGTTATCTTTTACCTTGGCTGGTGCTCATAAGTAAATACAGGGCCATAAGAAAGGAAAAATATTTAAAAAGAAATCGGCGATGACTCGTAAACGAGCTAATCAAAAGTATCTAAAATTATTCTTTTTTGAAATGTGGGTTTTAGTGCTCTTCAATAAACCTAAATAGAATTATTCTCTAAAATAATTAGGGAAGTCAATAATTGATCCCATTAAAATTTACATGTCCCGGCCGACGATGCAACACCCGGTATAACCCTTTTAAATTGGTTCCCACAGAATAAAAGGACTCTTTTTAGTCAATTTCAAATTTGTTTACCTTAGTTTTGACCATTGTTACGTTGACAATATTATGTTTTAACAATAGTATTGGAAAATTCAATGGCTTTTTTGGAAATTTATGGTACCTAGTTGGTTAAGCATGACGAAATATGTTAAAAATATTAGTCCAACATTAACAGTAATTAAACAACAAAAAAAATTAAACTTGAAGATTTACATAGTTAAGAAAATAAACCTCCAAATACGAAGTTTTGGTAAAAACTTTTTAATATAAGTTACTTTGAAAAATCGAAAAACGAACTCTGAAAGATTTTTTTTAATCCACCCCCGAAAAATGGAAAAATAAATATAATTTTTTGAAAATTTCGGAAAAACGATAAGGATTAGAAAAAAAAGTTCTAATAAAAGTTGTAGAGCGCCAAATTTTACATAAAAATGATCTCTATATTTTTTTTCCTCAAATCAATATTAACAGAATAGAGTGGCTAGAAGCTAGGGGACGATAATAGAAATTTAAAAAAAATCATAAGTTGTTGAAAAATTCATATATATTTAAATTTTGTTTTCAATTTTTTCAAAAAATGCAACCTTATTTCGGTTAATTTTAGCAAAAAAATATACAGATTATTTTTATGTGCCACTTTTAACAATTAGTTTTTTGATCTTTTAAAGTAACTTATATTAAAATTACGTTAAGTTAAGTTTACTTCGTATTTGAGGGCCTATTTTTTTGGACTAATATTGTATAACATTGAAATGATTTAAATACACTCAGAGAGAAATGCAAGAAAAGCACTGAGACATGTTTCTATCAAGTTTAAAGTATTAAATATATTTTTTTTCTTTTAGCCTTATTTTCATTAATTTTTTAGCAAACTGTATATAAATGTATTAACTTTAATTCATAAACTCAGCTTTTTATAATCTGTGTATTATTTGACTTATTATACAGGGTTAATCGAAGGGTTGATTTTTACCTTAACTTTAAAACACCCTGTGCAATAGTGTCAAGTTTGACAGTTTGAGCAAGTTTTCGTAAAACATTATTTTTCGGTTAGAACCATGTCTCCTGAGCATTTTGCTTTTTGGATCATGTTAATACATGCGTTGGTGAATTTTTAAGAGCAAAATGAACTTGCCACCAACAGTTTGCAATTTTTTTAATTATAATTTTTTTATGTTATTTTTCAATATCACGAGGTGGCTTTGGTGACTATTGTCAAATTGTAGTAATAGATAGCAATGGAGTAATGTCGTATTATCCTGCATTGGATACTTTATATTAAATTAAAAAACGGTTTAAAGAGTATACAGTCCTGGTTTTAACAAACATTAGTAACGATAACAGAACTAACGATATTTAAAGAAAACAAGTGTAATAATCAAGTTACACAAGAGGCATGGTTATGACAGAAAAATAATGCTTTAGAAAAATTTGCTCACGAAATTATTGCACAGGGTGTTTTAACGTTAGGGAAAAAAACAACCATTCGATAAACCCTGTATGATAAAGGTAAGTATAAAGGTAAGTTTACGAATTGATATATTTATATACAATTTGCCAAAAAAAACATGAAAATTGTGCTAAAAATAAAAAATAAATAAGACTTTAAATTTGACGAAAAAATTTTCTGTTGCATTTTTTTTGCATCCGAGTGTTATATTAAAAATTTATTTCTGCTATTAAAAACTATAAACAATTTTAACATATATTATCTGAAAAAAATTTCACGCGCACAATACTTCGATAACATATATCTCAAATCAATTTCTGTTAACCATAATAATTATAGTACTATATAAAAATTAAAATAATCATTATGCCCTTTTTTAAAAAAGAAAATTGAGATTAAGGTCACGAGACAATTTTTTTCCGTCTTGCATCAGAAAAACTCACCTAATTCCTTCTCATCTTCGACGGCAATTTTTTCCTCTACTTTACTTTTCTGGGTGGTACCGCTCTCCGCATTCGCCATCGTCTCGCCAAAGCACTCACCTTGCACCAGGTCGTACTACGGTACTTATGGGTACTGACCACTTGACCACTGCTGCGTCTGACTCTCGCGACTTAATTCAAAACACTAAAATTCTTCGTCGCAGGCCAAAGAGTATGTAGCAGGTACCTCTTTGGTTTGGTAGTGCTCAAGAGGCTGCTGCGTCGGATGGTTTAAGTACTGTGTAGTACTATGATGCGAGATTAATGTGATTTTATATCGTTTACATATCCCGCGATTACTCGTGTTTTATCAGTACTAATTAGATTTATTTCCTTTTAAATTTATAAAAAAAATATACAGGGAGGGTCCATTTTGTACAGAATTAATTTTTGATGACTGATGATTTCTTAATTAAAGTTTAATATATTTTGTTCTAGTGGGCCGATTTTGATGATTTTTTAAGCAATATGTAACTAAATTATTTGAATATTTCTTTTTAAATTAAAAATGAAAGTTTTCATCTGTCAATTATACAAGGGAAAACAAAATGTTGATGTTTTGGTTAAAGTTTGAAACACCCTGTGGAATATGTTAAAACCCCAAAGAATTTAAAAATAATTTTATCATCTAAGTGCAGGGCGGATCAAATTGGACACTTTTAAAGGGAAACGCCCTTTTCTACAGGAGATAGACGAAAACTAATATCGGCGTTTGTAGCTCAATTTTTATCAAAAACATGATGGTGAAAACCACACGTCGATATCTGTTACCGTTTATAAGTTACGAGGTGTTTTTCAAAAATGTGCATTTTTAACATATCGCTGTAACTTTTTTGCTATGGAAAATTTTGTATTTTTATGAAAACATTTCCAAAGCACCTTTTTACGTAGAATTTAACGGTTTAAGTATATTTTTTTTAAATTAATAATTTAAGAATTATCAACAGAAAATTTTATTTTTTATATGGGACACCATGTATATTTTTAATTCCTTGAAAAGAATTTAAAATTACCTTTCCAAAAATGTAACATACTTGATATTTTGCTCGATTCCTCTTCGAGATATAGAGCTTTTAAAAATTCGACCACTCTGAATAAGTAGGCTTTGAATCGCGCCGGCTGTAATGCAAAAAATTGTAGCTATGAGCAGCAATTAAAACGAAAATAATATTTGCAATGAGAGATTTAGAAATCTGTAACAATTCAAACTATATTTAACAACATCAACACATTTAAACTATATCTTCTAATAACAATAAAAATTAAAAGCAAACCGAGGCATGAGATTTTGCTACAGGTGTTCGACATGTCGGCCGTCTTCTGTTAAGGACAGACAGGACCGTTTTTGAACATTTCTCGCGGAATTCATTAACTCAGTAGGAGTGAAAGATACCCTCGCATAACCGCTAAGTACTTCTAATTCTTGTCTAGATTATGCAGGCAATTTAAAAATAAGAACCTTAATTTTTTTGCAAAGATAAAATGCCATAGGCACTAAATCCGGCGGCCTCGACGGCCAACGGCTGAGATCTTGGTTAGCTAATCAATTATTCTCGAAATTGGCTGCAAAAGTTAGCTAAGCATTTCAGCGTTCTGATGCGGTTCCTCGTCTTCCTGGAAAAATATGTTTTCAAGTTCCATTAGGGGCAGATCATCAATAAGGGGTCTGTGGCGAATCATCAATAAGGGTTAAAAGTGGCGAACCTTTAAAAATTCTGTATTTCGAAGATGATTATAACAAAATATCAAGTGTGCTGTAATTTTGGAAAGACAATTTTAAGTAAGCCAAAACCATGCCTTTGCTTTTGGTCCTAGTTAGCAGACCTAGTAAGTTGTGGTTGTGATCGTTTAATTTTTTTCTTACAGTTCGTTCAGTTACATGTACGGTCCTTAAGTGCAATTCATTATAAATTTGAAAAGCTTGCAAACAGCGCGGCTGTTTCTTAGCGATAAACTTACAATAAGTCGATCGTCCGGATTCGAAGTTGTCATACGAATGTTCCTGGACATCTAGCATATGAATCTCTATCATCTTTAATTAAAGATATAAACAACAAACTATAGCGGATACAACTTCTGGACTAAAAACCTCCTTTTGCTAGAGTAACTGCCCAAAAGGCAACATACAATAATAATATGATTTTTCAATAACACTGACTTTATATAAATCATAAACACTACTTCATAGGTCTGAGTTTTTCTGTAACTGAAAAGCCTGATACGTGATGTTATCTCTCTTTCGTACTCAAATTCCGAACATTCAAAAATCTCATTACTTTGCTGCCTCTTTACTTTTTGGTTGTCGTTGTTAGCTGAGTTTCCAGTTCTTCTCTATTCTATTGTGCGCTGCTTCCTCGCACTGATTCTGCATTCTTATCCCCTTTAAGTCTTCATGGACAATAACCTTGTATCTTTTGAGTTGTCCACGTGATTTCCTCTTACCTTCTACAAGCTCATCGTAAAGAAGAGATTTCGGTAGGCGGTTTTCTTGCATCCTGCATACGTGGACAGCCCATCTTAAGCGGATTATAGTAATCATGACTTCAACCCTTTTGCAGCTAGCTTTTTTAAGGACTTACACATTTGAGACATTGTGATATCATTTGATTCTTAACAGGTGCCTAAGGTGTTTCTGTTGCAACTGTTTAAAGCGTTTGCGTGCCGGCGGTACGGCACCCAGGTTTCACTTCCATATAATATGGTGGGTATTATTATTCGGGACACTGCAAGTTTCGTTTTTGTGCTCAAGTCATGATTGTAAAAAACTTCGTCGTTTAATTTCCAGAAAGCTCATGAGCCGCTGCTAATTCTGTGCTGAATTTCAGAGTCGATATTGGCCTTTTCCGAAATCAAACTGCCGAGGTAATTGAATTCCGCTACATATTCCAATAGCTCTTCTCCGATTTTTATAGCACTGTTATAATTTTCCGGGAGTGTGCACATGATTTTTGTTTTATCGATGATCAGCTTAAGGACCAAAGCCTCGTATGCCCAGATATGAGCCCTAACAACTAAATGTTCGGACAAACAAAAATGTATTAAAAACCTTTGTTTTAATTAACTAAATTATTTACATTTAAGAAATACATTAAAAATATATTAAAATCTAACATTTCTAATGAGTATTTAAATAGTTTAGTTTCTATAAACATTAAAATAAACTGTAAGCCAATATATAAACAAAAAGATTGCACAATATCGTGACAACTAAATGTTCGGACACTTTAAAAAATAACTGTTCTAATATGGCGTTACACCGGCATGAACTTTTGCAACCACTGCAAGCCTGTTTGGCATTATTTTTATTAATGATTGACATACGCCAGAGTAAAAATTTTGCCATAATTCACTTAATATCAACGTCAAATGGGCAACGGTTTCTTGGGGATTGTGGCACAATTTTTGTTTTGTTTTATGCCATGTATGTCTATGTCTCGATAACATTAAGGTCCGGACAGTGCGAAGGCCATGAGAGACCTTGATGTTCATGTCCCTAAACCATTTTTTAATAGTTTTAGCCGTATGGCATGCCCCGCCCATCCTGTTGAAATATAAAAACCTTTGTCTTTCCCACTTGACACAAGAATATTTTTCAATTTTTCTTGATTTTTTGACGCATTAATTATGCCTTCTACCATCTCATACTTTTCTGGGCCTATTTTGGACATACACCTTCAAATCATAATGCCTTTAGGAAATTTCACTGTCCTTTTGAGGCAATCTTTATCAAATAGACACTCTAGCGGTGTTCGATTATATTTATTATATCGATATTAAGGTGGCTCATGTGCACATGTAATCCGTGTACTTGCCATTTGTGATTGGAATTATTAGCGTCGGATTGGGAAATAGTTAAATATTTCACCTTAATGTCATTTTTGGAGTTTGTGCCATCAGAAGTTCCAATCGGACGCTGATAATTCTAATCGCAAACTGCAAGTTCAAGGATTACATCTGCACACATGCATGATCTTTATGAAAGATGGACAGTGGAATTTCCTAAAGACATTATGCTTTAAGAGTTTATGTCCGCAATGGGTCTAAGAAGGTATGAGGTGGTAGAAAGGCACAACTAATGTGTCAAAATATCAAAAAATATCAAGACACGCATCAGAAGATGGTCACGCAAGGCGTTTTCTTTCATTCTCTTTCAGTTCTCGCTGTTAACTGAGTTTACAATTCTTCTCCATTGAGTTCTATTGTGAGCTGCTACTTCCCACTCATTCTGCACATTAATCCCCTTTAAGTTTTCGTGGAAAATGTCCTTGTACCTTCTGAGTTGTCCACCTGGCCTTCTCTTACCGTCTACAAGCTCACCGTAAAGCAGTGATTTTGGTATGCGGTTTTCTTGCATTCTGCATACGTGACCAGCCCATCTTAGTCGGGATTTTGTAACCATGACTTCAATATTCTCGCAGTTAGCTTTTTCAAGAACCGAAACATTTGAGACGTGATGGAACCATTCTCTTCCTTCGAACGATTACGTGGTCCAATTGATGCCAGTGGCCTGATCTGGGGTGTTTCCAGGTACCTTTAAACTTGTCCTTCAACATAAACCACGTATTGGTGATGCAAAGATTATACTCTGTGCATGTTGTTAATAAGCGTTCACCATTGCTATTTACGTTTCCCATACCATGTTTTCCCATTACGTCAGGCCGTATTTCCTGTTGTTTACCGACACGGGCGTTAAAGTCACCTAGCAAGATAATTCGTTCGTTCTTCGGAATTCGTTGGAGAGCATTTTGTAGAGTTTGGTAAAATTTATCCTTATCCTCAATTTTAGCGTCTAGGGTGGGAGCGTAGGCACTAATGATGTTGACGTAAGTTTTGTTTGATATGGGATACCTTAGGGTCATAAGGCGTTCGGAGACACCAATAGGTACTTCTGTTAATTTGGTTGCAATTTCGTTCTTGATTGCAATGCCTACGCCATGAATTCTCCTGTGTGTGACCCTTCCAAAAGAAGGTGTAATGCTCCTCAGTGAGACTACCCTCATCCGCAAAGCGGGTTTCGCTAAGAGCGGCAACATCTATATTTAGCCGGTGGAGTTCCTGTGAGACCAGTGCTGTTCTTCTCTCTGGTCGATTGGAGTTTGTCCTGTCCAGTAGAGTGCGGACGTTCCACGCCGCAAACGTGAAACATTGATGTTTTTTGTTTCTCCGATGATACGCTCGAGTAGGCACCCCCT